CGCCGTCCGCGAGGGGTGAACCACCCTTGCAGCGGCGACTCTCGACCGGCAGCAGTCAAGCTATGCGCTTCTGAATCGGCGCGGCATTACAATTAATTAACGGGGCGAGCGAGCGAGCGAGCGAGCTAGCTGCTTCCATTAAGGGTGCACGAGACAAGAGAGAGAGGGAGAGAGAGAGAGAGAAGGGGGTGGTTCGCGCACGTACGTACACGATCGTAGAAATTCACGGGTGCCTGTGGAAAAACCGGCAGAGACGTTTCTTTAACGACGTTTAGACCTGAAGAACAGGATCTTTCTCTTCGTCCCTCTGCGTTTCTTCGACTTTTACGATCGTGTATATATATATATTTGTTTGCCGTTCCAGGCTTTACGATTGACACTCTCACGACTCGTCTTATGAAGTAAACGTCAGTCAACCTCCGTGAGAAGAAAGATATATAGTAGATATATAGATATATGTAGCGAGGAATGGATGCCCGTTATTGCGACTTGTTATATCAAGATAAGGGTATCCATGGTGGAGATGTATTTAGAGTAGGATGTGTTTCGTATTCAACCCTTTTAAGGGGATAAAATATAAATGGATCAACGCGTTGAACCATGTTGAGTAAAGTTCGTGCAAAGTCACGATAACGAAAGGTTTTATTGGACGGTGAAGTCGGGCGATATAGAGGAATCGAGAAGGGAGGGGAGATTCGTTGATTAATGATGAGGTTACTTGGACCGATTCCGGGTTAACTGTTTTAGTCGGTTTCGAACTAGAACTGGCGTCGGTTGTAATATTTGTCAGTTTCAACGTCAGTTTCGTTAACGAAGGTGAAAAGAAAGATTATTATTTATGTTAAGGCGATTTGCGCTTGACGCACGTTTCTAACGTGAAAATGAAAAATGGATGCCGGCCTGTCCGGCGCGAAACAAATTGTCCCGGTGCATCGAACCTTAAAAAAAAAAAAAGAAAAAAGGAAAAGATAATGCCTCGAAAATGATAGCTCTGGATAATAGTGAGATAATAAAGTTTAACAAAACTTCGCATTACGAATGGTTTTATCGATTAAATGATAAAATGTAATTCCAATTTCTTATCTTTCGTCCGAACTCATCGTCCGATTCGGGTTAATCGTTACGGGTTCGTAGGATATCTGGAAACAATACGTCTCGCTTAATATCGCGTCTAACAATAAGTACCGGCGCAACAACGAAACGCCCAACCCCTTGTTTTCATTGCGGCGATCTTGTCGGGGTTACCGCAAATGCAGTCCCGGATATAAAACGTAACGATAATCGCGCGATTCTCTCCAATCTCGCCGTTAAATCCCTGTGTCGAAACTTGCAAGCCTCGGCGTATTTCAAGGGGTTAAATAGGTTTTAGGGGAAGTCGTTCGGTGGTTGATACTTCGAAGGTTAAAAGGAATAATGTATCATTAAAGAGGAATTAAAGGGATAAAAATATATAAAAAAAGAAAGGTAGAATAAATCAAAAGGGATAATTGGATTGTTGTTTCGACGAGAGAAATTATTATTATTTTTTTTTTTTACTGATTTTTAACGAAACGTTACGGAATAATTATTATTGCGGTAATGTCGCGTTCGGAGGAAGGGGAATGGAACGGAAACGACTGCGATGAATAGATTTTAGGGGTAATACCGTATTTTCAATGACGACAAATGCGTACTGCGTATTCGAGGCTATTTCATCGGAGGAGGGGGAGGAGTGGGCGCACACGCGAAACAGGGTTCTCGTCACGAGACGCGATCGCATTTTAAATGAATTTTATATTCGTTCCGCGAATGAAAGCGCAATAGCGCGTTTTGTACATCATATTTTTTTAATCGATCGTTCAATCCGTTTTTTTTTCTTTTTTTAATTGTCCCATAATACCTCAAGTCCATTTCATTGTTTCTCGCGGTGCCATTATTGCGAAAATATTTTTCAAAATATGTTTTCAGAAAAAAAAAAAAAAAGAAAACCAAATTATTGGAACCAATACACTTTTCAAACATACCTATATATCCAATTTTCCGCTACGTTTCCAATTTCGTTAACTGATTTTATTCATTTCGTTCCGAGTTTTACGAAATTTTAATATTCTTTCTTTTTTTATTTTTCTTTTCTTTTTCGAATCTCTCGCGTTATCGATGATTCTTTGTAACTTTTGGTCCGCGAAGTCTCGGTGGGATCGCGATCGAAACGGCGCGCTAAACTCATGGAAAAGGATTTCACGCGGCTCGACTGTGTGTCATCCTTTTCTCTTTCACGCTGGGTTCAGGGAACCGTTCGATTTCCATAAGGGAGGGCGCACCCGATGCGGATTTCAATCAAACGATCGCGAGACGCATAGATCATTCTATTAGCTTTGACGTGCGCTAGTTACCACCCCTTCGAATGTCGATCCATCTCTCGACACACCGAGGCGGTCGAAAACCGCCGAGCAATAAACCACAATATAATATATCAGTGTCCCGTCCATACCGAAATAATCCACCCGGACCGGTTTCGAATTTAACGAATCACGATTTTTCATCAATCAGCTTGGACGACGATGAAAACGCGCCACTCCCCCTTCTTCCTTCCCCTTTAAAAAAAAAACTCGAATATTTCGAGCGCAGGGGGATCGTGCACCCCAATCGTGGCCAATCGTCCGTCATCGTCCGCGATAAAACTTATCATAGGTTGGTAATTGGGACCGAGATATACGATGGTACGGTTAAAGTATAAAGCGCATGCTTTAGGGCGAATCTATCGAATTAGATTACTGGGATTTAATTAATTGATTAACGAGTGAAGCGAGCGGTGGTTTTGAAAAGTTACGGCGGATCGAATAACTTAAATCGAATAAAAAACGGGCTCCGTTTTACGCAAAAGCAAACTTTAACAAAGTCACAAATTACCGGTGGATTAAGGAATTAATTGTAATCTCTTTGATACCGGTCCCTCGAGTTTCTCTCAAACTTGTGTAAACGTAAATTAAATAAAAAGCTGAATTGCCGTATACAAAAGCAAAATTGGAAAAGTTGCGTAAGTAGGAGGATTAAAATATTATAGAATAAATTACAATTCCTTTTGATCATCCTCGGACATGTTTATAACAAAAAAGAAAAAAAAGGAAAGAAAAGAAGAAATACTCGTTACGATACTTACTCGTTTTTCGATGATATCGATTAAATTCATCAATCGTTGTATTCCTCCATATTCGAGATCACGTTCCACCGATTCATCGTCTGACACGTTTACGAGCTCGTTTTTAATCGAATTCATCGAAACGCGCCTTAAATTCGTCCCCTTTTCACCCGTCCATCCGACTGTCCCCGGATTCTGGACAACAAACGCGATAATCTCGGGGCGGTGATAACGCGGAACGAAAAGAGTGGTCCCGCAGGGAGATGTGCCGGAAGTGCAAGAACGGAAGTCACGAAGGAGGACATTGATGAGTTACGGCGACCGATCCACTACAGACGTATTTGCTGAATACGAAATTTTTCTCCAACCTCGATCTCGATAAATCACTCGGAATCCCATCTTTCTCCTTTCCAACTATTCTCTCTCTTTCTCCTCCGTCCCTTTCGCGTCCGTCTTCATTTACTCGACCTCATTGAAATTAGAGCAAAAAAAAAAAAGAAAAAGAAAAGTGGAAGAATGTTCGATAAGAACGAAGTTATATCTCGTTCGATGAAAAACCGTTTAAGAACCCGATCAGATTGAAGCGATGATCGGGTGGAATTAATGCTTCGCTTGTTTTTACCCGATACTAGAAATTTATACGGATCGATGGAAGAAACGGACTTCAGAAACTTCCTTATCGGTCTGTAATTAATGCGTTCAACCTCACTTTCTTAATTGGAATTCTTGCGTTCGATTACGTAGCAATTCTACGATCGATTGGACGTCTTCGAATAATTGATCGTTTTTTTTTTTTTTTTCTTTGCGATGCCATGATAGATTGAACGATTATTTATGGATAACTTGTATATCAGTAATTCACATTTACAGTAACGAACAGAGAGAGAGATAGAAAGAGAGAGGATTATAATACAAATAAATATAATTGAGAACGATCGAAAAACGAGTTCGGGCTTTTTAAGAGGTCGAACAAGAGAAGAAAATTACTATATCAGATTTCGAAAGTTTAAACGCGCTTTGTAATCGTTTTTCGCCTATTCGGCAAAAGGGAACCACGCAGGGAAATGCAGGTAGAAATTTCTGCGGATACAGAGCTTAACCACGTCAAAGGTATCGGATCCCGCTTGATCCTCTCCAGAATTCTCTGAAGCTTCATTGGGGAATCACAATGTGATCGTGTTCCATGGTGTCGGGTCACAGGTCATAAACAAACGCTTTTGTAAGCCACGTTTTCGACGTGGAAAGGAAACGTGGAAAGGATCGCGGATCGGGAAGGATCCTCCGTCAAGTTGCGACGAATAGTGAAATAAAATGGGCGAAACCGATTTTGTTCGCGATATTGAAAAATACTGATTCGATTTCTTTTCTTTTCTTTTTTCTTTCTTCCTACGTATTTCGTTTTCAAACGAAACGCACGACAAAAATATGAATCGAAAATGGACATCGTGTTCGTGTTTGTATACAACTCGATTCGAGGAAAAAAAAAAGAAGAAATTCCAATGTTAACCAACGTTAACGCGGACGACGCAGTTTCACGCGGAAGCATCGATGGAGAAAAAAAAAAAAAAAAAGAAAAGAAAAGAAAGAAGAATAAAAAGGGGAGGGGGAATAAAAAAGCGGGGATTTTCTCGAGTACATTTTACCGATAACGTCCTTTCTACTCCTTTTTCGGTCTTCATCCCTCGAGAAGAGAGGTGTTTTCACAGAGGCGCGCATAATCTATATACAAACACATCCGCAACCGGTCAGAGACACACTAGTGTGCCGATGTTGACAGGTTATTGGCAGTTCAAGGGCTGAAAATGCCCGGCCTGGCAGTATCGGTCCCCATTTTCCAGCTTTACGATGACGACCATTGTTATTGGCATAGTAGCCCTACCAGCGGAAAATTGTTGGCGATAGGGGAGGGAGAGTGTGCGAGTTAAAAGAGCGAACTCTATCATCGAACACGGCAATACACTTAATCACTCCTCTATATATCGATCGAATATAGTGTATACTTCTTTTTTTCAACCTTCCAATAGGTACTCCAATTTCCTGCCTTCTTTTGTTGTAAAATCGCTTCGGCTTTCGTATTATCGCAAACGGTCAAATTCATTATTCCTCGGTGATGATTAATTTAATAGGTCGATATAAATGGGGACGCGTAAAACGAAATATTATCGTTGAATTTTACGAAACGAAGGGACGAAGCACGCGTCGATGTTTGATTTTAAGGTAGAAGGGTGGAGAATTTCTGGAGAAAATCTTTTTTTATCGCAATTAACCGTTTCGATTGAAAATTGGGTTAATCCCAATCACTTGGAAACGCGAAATTCATAAATTTTTGATTTCTCTACCAATCTTTTCCCGTTATTGATCGAATACCAACATCTTGTGGAAAATCTAAACACTATAAATTTCCACTGGAATCCAAACTGTTCCCGATCGATTTGACGATAACTTGCCCTGACAAATGTGTTTTGCTCCGCAAAATTGTGTCGAGCGACCTGTACGCAACCGAAATGGGATCATCTTGTTTTCTCTATCGAATATAAATTTTTCTTTTTTTTCTCCCCACCTTCGAACTCGAGTTTTTATTTATAGCTTTACGAAAAAAAAATATATTTTCAAGTATCTAAGATAAGCATATGGGGATATCCAACGAATCGTTGGAAAAATAAAAAAAATTTTCCCCTACCTCCTACGATGATGACGACGATGACGTTGCTTCGACGTGTTCCGCGTGCTGCTTTCCGGTTGGATGGTGAACACTTCCTCGATATTTTCCGCGTTCAAATTTCTCATTTGATTGGTGCCCTCCGTGGTCGTGGGAAACGCGTTCAACTCTTCAGACGTTCTCAAAAATGCTTGCATCGATTTTGTAGCGTTCGACGCCGTTTGCGAGGCTTCACGTCCTTGTTTTCGAGCGGAATGCCTCTTCTTCGTTGGTGGGGTCGTTGACTCTAGCCTAAACATTTGATATTCCAGAAATTT